CCACCAGCTCGGAGTTTAAATGCAAGTTGACAACCACCAGTTTGTGATCACTGAATAATTGACCATCTGTTGCCTTCGTGCTCATAGCTACAATCTTGAGAGGAGGCGCTCAATCAGAACCCTGTGCCTTTTACTCAGGAAACCAAAAATAGATTTCCACTAGGCAAGATTCCTGGAGGAATTCTGCACAGCAGCCCAGCTGCCCTGATGAAGGAGAGAGAGAGGATGAGCTGGAAGCAGCAATGCCCAGCCCTGTCTCTGGGACACAGGGACTCCGAGTTTCATTCTGCTTTCTTACTGAAAGTGGCCTCTACAACACCCCCCCAGACATACACACAGCATCTCACCATTACTCAGCTTTCCAGAAACATGTTGTTGCATTATTTGGGACTACATTTGTCAGAGTGTGGCCTACATGAGGATCCCATTAAGAGGCCCAAAGAGGCAGGTATTTTGAAACAATGTGTGATAGACCAAGTCCATCATTCAGCAGGCCGAGACTGAGTACAGAGAACTGTGCGGGTGATTTCGTTGTTTAAGGTGTATACTGTACCATGTTTTCCAACAAGAAGAAGCTTACTGAGAAAACACCTGACTTTGGGAACAATTCATTTTCAGTACAGCACAGATTGTACCTATTCCATGTGGTTATTAACTTTTCCCTGTCCTTTCAATCTGTATTAAAAGAAAATTAGAATCAACAATTTAACGGTACAAGCACAAGCAGCTTTGTTTCTGAAAGCCCTGGAAACAAATCATAACAACACTTACTGCTGGTTACAAACATCAGGTGAAAATTCTACTATTCCACACTGTGACAAAAGCCAACCTAACCACATAACTAATTCGCTCTCAATTTTTTAAAGTGTTCTGAAAGGGTTACAGGAGACATCATAATGACAGGAAACAGCAGCGCTTTGCCAATGGCAAATGCACTTAAAACCCTCTTTCCGATTCTACTTCAACAGCCAGTCGTCCCTTAAAATACTGCAATCCTACTACTGCAGAGAGCAGTGTAGAAAAATGAATAAATAACTAAGACCAACACAGACTCTCCATGCTCACACTATCCATATAGGCTCAAGCAAAGGAAAACCAAAACAGCTTAGTGTAGCATTCTAGATTTTCAGAATTTGATATAGTAAATTATAAAAATAAAAATAATTCTCCTTACAAAAACATAGCTGTGATTCCATCTGTACACAGGAATTACAGCTAATGGAAAGCAAATCAGATCAGCCAAGACAAATCTGAGCTTTATCAGAGGAAAGCAGAATAAACACACAGAAAGGCATCAGTAAGGACTCTTCACCTCTATATCCAATTTTTGCTGTGCGCCGTTAACAGACAGAAAAGTGACAGTAATCATGGCTTGTCAGAGATACGTCAAGCTCCTTTGTGTTACATAAAGAAAACTAAATAAAAATATCAAAATGGAATGTTTGACTTTGCTGGGTGAGAATGAGGGAGCCACCAAGTGTCAGCTGGCATTACAGAGCTGCACTGTCAGGATCGGTCTCCTTCTGTGCTGTCGTGTTGGGGAAACCTGGCTTGGTGGAGCACTTGAAAGGATACTTCCAGCCAGAGCCTTCATCTGGTACTCAGCAAACAAAGATGACATCTATGGGATTCCTCGCTCTAGAAGATTTTTTTTTAAAGCAAGTGCAGTGCAACAAAAGTATTTATGACTCCACATAATATTTTGAACAGAACTGATCCTTGCAGCTGCATTTCTCTGAGGGCCCATATTCTATACAGAGTAGACAGCAAAATTCCTTGGTTGCAAAGGGAGCAAGGCCATAGGAACTATGTCCTTAATATGTTTTAAACATATCCCAAACACCTAACACGAGAATTTCATGTATGATGTACAGTACAAACACTGGATCTTTTTTAGTGGGAACAGTGTGGGTGTCTGGGAATTCCCACTGGCATGGAAAGTGTGTGTACTTGGCTTTATCTAAACCAAAAGAAAAGAGTTAATTACTCAGCTTTTTATTGCTACAACTTGTGTTAAAAATGTGTTAACACATAAGGATTATATCTTATACAATCTAAGGAGGATATGAGCTGAGTCTGCACTTAACATAGTGCAGACCTGGTTAGAGACTCTAAAAATGTGTACTTTAAAATGTCTGCAGCAGGACACTGAGCTAAGTAAGAAGTTAAAGGCATAATAATCTAATACCATGTTTGTTTTCATTGTGAGAAAAGGTGAAAGCTTGGTATTCCAACTAGGCCTCTTTAATTCTCTCTTAGCATTTTGTCTTGGCAATTCATCTGACTGTGCAGCTGTGATAAACATCTAAGGAGAACATACTGTAGGCTGGGCTCTCAAAATTTAATTAAAACCATTTAGGAAATATGGCGTGGAGATTTTCGACAGTTTCAAAAGTTTCTCAGTCTTAAGTAATGTTGAAGCCTGGTGTACCAAAATCCCATTAGTGCAAGCTGTAACAGTGCTGGAAACCAGAGCAGCAGAAACATGGACACATACACCAGAACATGTGTTTTCCAGATCTTTTGTTTCTTTAAGCACCAGTGTGCCACAGAGAATATGAAATTACTGATTAGCATGGATGTCGACTCCATGGCTTGCTTGGAGTTTAGTACACCAGTGAAGGCTGTAATGGGAAGAATGCAGCAGGACTCTGGCTGAGAAGGCTTTGGCCACATTTCCAAACCCCCGGCTCAGTTCTCCAAAACACATGGAGGTTTCACAATGTCCTTCTCTGTCTGGACAACATTGCATGACTGTGCAGCCTTTTTCCTTCAATGGCAACAAACAGACACTAAATGGTAACTCTTTGTACTATATCATTAAAAGTGACAATAAACCACAGGGACAAACCTAACATTACACACTGCAGATGATAACTCTTACATTACTTCATAAGTGTGACACTGAACATTGTGTACATTCCGTCCAATGGTATTCTCACTATCATTTAGAAACAAGCACACTGAATGGGAAGGCTTCACATGTCAGTACGACACAATTTTAATTTACATAAAACCAATCAAGATGTTAAGATGTTTCAGCTGCACAGTCACATACACATCAGCTATGATGCTTCCCATGAAACTTCAAAGAGCAAAGTGATTCCAGAAAAGCGCTAGCTGTAAGGTTTGTCCTTTAATAACAGGTAAATAAGCATTCTATATACAGTAAGGTTGCACATGGGGCAAAATTATTAACTCTATCTCCTGGAAAGATTGGAGAACCGGGCTGCTGGCCTTGGGATTCTCAAGACTGTGCCTAGGAACTGCTACATGCTGCCTCTAATTATGGGAGGTTTTATTATTGCAACGTTTTTTATTCCTGCGAGAAAAAGAAGACGTAAAGCCCTATTCCGGATTCTCATACTCAACGGAGCTGACAAAAGCACACCCTTTAACTGATCAGACCTACTCGTTTCAAACACACAATTACAAATCAGCCAGTTCTTTTAATTTATAAGTGCTAATAGCTGGTTAGCTGTACTTGGGAGATGAGGAGTTACAGTAGGCATTTGAACTTCCGTTTCTTTTGAAGAAAAGGAACTCTTTTTGGCCATACAATAAGGCTGCCACAGCTCTTAAGACTCAGCATCTGCTGAACTTCTCCATTCTCAAATAAACTGATTCAGCTAAAATGTGGTCTTTGACCAATTCTGCCTCCGAAACAGACAGTAAAATAGCAATAAGCGCACTACTGTCACTTGATTTTGCTAAACTGTAAATACTAGTATAAGTTATACTACCAATTTTCTCTGATTGTATAGTATTTGTGTTTCTTAGTTACTAAACCTCGAGCTCCAGGCACCAAAAGATTTGACACAAAATCTTTCAAAAGACCCACAGAAAACTTTCCAAGCAACCACATGACCTCCTGCCACAAGTGTGGAAGCCAGATAACAGCTGCACAGCTGCTTAGGAACAAAAAAAAAGCTCTCGTTTTAGAAGGGTATCATGTAAAATGTGTGTGCTGGCCTGTGCATGGCGTTTTCTTCCAAAGCTGGTGATGACAGAGTCAAGCCCTGTCTTTACTGTCAGTCCAGACTTTGCAATGGGAAGCCGAGGGGAATGAGCACTGAGAGGTGCAGGGAGGCACTGGGGTGGCAAAGCACTGTCAGTGCAGATACAGCTACTGGACATGTGGGAATTGCGACTTGCTACACTATGGACAGGCGATATCCTTCTCATCCGACCAGCTTCCATGCTAAATCCTTAAAATCTATACGGATTATTCCTGATTTCACTAAAGCCTTGACTGCAAAATGACTAAGTGACTGGTCCTAACTTTGAAGTGAACAGCATGCAAAAATGGAACATAACTGGGTCCCATGTCTGTGTGAGAGTAAAACAGGACACAAAAACAATCACACCTATCATGGTACTGTACGCCTGGGTTCAGTGCATTGTCAATTCACTCTTTTCTCCACAGTGCTATTTTTGTTAGTTATTTGAGTAACCCAGCAGAGATCAGTTATTCCTGTCTAGAGGGCAAGCTAAAAAAAAAGACTTCACAATTCTAGAACTGCAGGAGGAAGGCTGGAGAGGTCTCTGCACTTAGGGCACACGGTGACTCACTGGACAGAAAAGAAATTTCTTCTGTCCTCAAGACTGAAAAAAGGGAAGAATTCAAACAGCAATTCAGACTGGCCACATAACATGTCGAAATGATTTACAGCTGTGTTTAAATGCATTTCCGATTGAAATGAAAGTTATCCAATACTTAAGACACTGGATTTTCTATGCTCCTTTAAAGTCACAAAACTAATCTAAGTGAAGTATTCAGTTTTTATAAAGGGTGATACTCATCAGACATCGAGATCTAAGATTTAAGTAGGACTGCCTTCCAGTCCTTTACAACATGCATGAATGTAAAAGCAATATATCTGTACTATGACAAAAGCACCAACGAGAAAAAAATCTCTAAAAGCATATGTTCTTGATTATTCTCTTGTGGTCTTGGTAAACTGTACATCTGTATCTGCAGAGACAGAAGAGTACCGTACCTGGCCGGCGGTGTCATACAGTCCCAGCAAGTACTGTTTTCCTCCGACCGTAACGCTAACTGTAAGAAAGAAGAAACAATCATCGCTGTAGAGAGACAGAGAAAGAAAGGAGACACTGTAGAAAGCAAAGCAAGTGGTTTTAATTAGAATAACAAGATTCCACTGCAAGGCCACCATCTATGCGTCTGGGAATAGCGGCAAACTAGACTAAGAGCTGGGGGGGGGGGAGAAAAGTTTATATTTCAGTTTTTACGAATCCTTTGTACAATAACAAGCTCCTATATAAATTAATTTATTTAAAAGCATAAATACGTACAAATACATTGAGCTGTTTATTGCGCGGCGGATTTTATGTACAGTAACTAACGTCAGAACGTACGGATTCTTTAAATTACATTTCGAGACAATAAGTTATTTTATTAATAGCCGCGGCATTTAAACATCCACCTTTGATTTATATTAACAGAGCCGTCTTTCATTACAGTCTCCAGCTCTGTGTGTATCACTGGTACAGCGCGGTTGTGGTTCTGTTGCACTCCAGCTTACTGAACAATGAAATGTCTCTGGTGCTGTAAGAAAAGTCGCCTACCTGCGTAATGGTCAAAGACAGTAGGAACATACTCCTCTGGAAAAGCGTCGTTGGCATAGCTCATCAGAAGGCAAGTTTTGCCGACAGCGCCGTCTCCAACAACCACACATTTCAGCATAATCGTGCCTGTTCCATTTGCCATAATTCGCAGAAAATCAACATTTTAACCGCCCCGGTTTTCATCGGTTAAAAGGCAACGTCCTGCCGGGCAAATATTACTCCCAGTCTCGTCTGCCTGCGCTCCCTAGCAAAATAACTGAAAATGGCATTTCTCCTCCCCGGCTGCCAAATTTGGCAGTTAAGGGCTTTCCTTCCTCTTTCTGAGCCAGCACATTCACGGAGGAGAGACACACGCTGAGCACGCTCCTCCGGGCGTTTCAGCAAGCCCCGCTGTAAAGTTCCAATATGCAATGCATAGGCTTCCTTTTAACGGGTCCAAACATAACTAAAGCTCCTGTCCCCGCATGACAAACTCTGATTCGCCTGTCGCTCGATTAGTCCACTTATCCCACTCTTTTCTCCAGTCTCACTTGTAAGGGCTATGATGCCAACTCGAGAAGGCTTGCGACAGAGGCGGAGTAAGAGTCCGAGCTCAGGGACTCTGTCAAAAGTGACTCGGTTGTAGTTCAGCGAACAGCGTGAGCTGTTACCTCGCCAATATTTTCTGGCTGATACTGTACTGTATGTAGGTGTGCTGGAGGCAGACTGGCGGGGCTCCTGCTCTTGTCTGTGTCCTCGTTTTACATGCTTCCACAGACATTCAAACCTTCAGGCACAACCGACTAATTGGCCATTTATCATTTATAACCTTTCCTAGCTGCTAGACGATGTTTCCCTGAGGCCAGTCCCTTCCGAAAACTGAACTAGAATGGACACAGTGGTGTGATTTAATAATTTATGAGGAGCTATTGTGTACCAATTCTTAGTCCACAAGCATGCTTATATTTTGTAGACCTACAGTATCAAATCTTCTCATGGTAAGGTCTAATTCCCAGGGACCCATACCATGAAAATGAAAGGGCTACAGTATGCAGTGAATTATGCCATTTACATTGTATAATAAAATTAGCAGTGTAAATTATTGCAAACTTAATTTTATTATTTGTTCTAATTGCTGGCATGCTTCCTGCACAAGTATCTCACCTGGGGCTGGTCCAGTCTGGGTAGATGAGGGCTCTTAGCCCCTGTTTCAGACAAGGCAACAGGCAGCTTGGTGTCAGGCAAGAGCTGTACACAGGACCCCCTGTATATCCAGCCTGGAGCATGGACTGCAGCCCCCCCTTGCGACCCCACTTTGCAGGTCCTTGTTTTGAAAGTCAGAGAACTGTTCAGTGTCTGGCTGGCCCAGTCAATGCCATTAAAATACACCAGGGCAGGCCAGCTCCAGTAGGGTGCCAGACAGGCCCTGCGCTTTGGGAAGTATTGAGTCTTGTTCTTCGGCAGTGCCTGTCAAGATGTTGGTCCCGGTCAAAAAGGAAAGTCCTGAGTCATGATGATAATAATGAGGTTTTCTCTGCTTCCCTGCTGCACTGCAGAATGAGATATAACAGTTCAAAGTTCTGACTCCAAACCAGGATAGCCAGTACAGAGGGAGGCACAGCTGCATGTGTCCTCATTAGCTCACCTGCTGCAGAGGTCTGACCTCACCCCTGCAGGGTCACAGCACTGTCAGCACAGGGAAGCAGACTAAAAATGCAGTCAATTTGTTTTACAGTTTAATGCAAAAACTTGCATTTGTGGTCTTCTTGTAATTATTAACCATTAAGGCGGGTTCATACTCTTTTCTTTTCTGTACAGCACGTTTGCTGTGCTCTGTTGTGTTTTATATGTGCTAGATAAAATATGACAACAGAGGCTGACTGACTAAACTTTAGGTGAGGCCTTGCCCAGGTCATATCAGATCTGGTTACTAATCTGTTTACATTCAGTGGTTAGGGCTACAGTATATTTAAGGTTTTTAACTCAAGCTCTGTATTGCACAGGGGTAATAAAATCTTTTCATTGACTATGCAGGCAATTGCCAAGCATTGTATGCAGATATAGTTCTGTCAGCTGCAAATGACCACACCAGTAAGGCATAAGCACACAATTTCGAGAGATTAATTTGAAAAATGTTTGCTCAATTACACGATGAAAAAAATAAAGAGAAGACACACTGTACGCGTTTGCTGTAAACTTTGTCGATGGTCCCTAAAAGGCTGATGGAAACCTAATCAGCTGGGAGTGGGCAGAGCTCCCCAGAGCTGGTAAGCTGGCTGGGGACGCGCTGTTATGTTTTAGTAATGGTATCACTTTTGACAGATGCTGCAGCAGTCACGTGATTAAACAATGACCTCATACTTTTCTCTCTACCTGCCGAGCGTATCGCTGAGATTCTGAAGTCCCGGTTGTACAGTAGCTCACTCAGCACGCCAGGCTGGAACAACTGCAAGCGAGCACGGATGGGAAATGTGTACAGTATCTACCAGGATTGAAATAACCGATACCGCGGTCTCCGCTATTTACGGTGCAAGTGTATTTCTAGAAGCAAATTCTCTTTAAAGACCGAAGTTAAAATTAGTCAGAATAAGAGCTCGCTGTATTTTTTGACATAAGATATCTCCTATCGCCAGTCTATTTCAGATTTAATCTCTTTTAAAGATGAAGCCCATGAATTATAGGACCACTAACTTTTCCCTTGTGGTCGAGCTAGTGATTTATGGCAACGAAAGTTGCAAAATAAATAAGGCATTTCCAAAATAGCACTTTCGTAGAAAGTCATATAATTGGTTTAAAGCCTCTACACACTCGAATTTTGGTGTTCTGGAATTGCATTTATATATGATTTCTCAAAGAGCAGAGAAGTGATCAAATTGTTTGCGAGAGCTGAACACCACCATGTAGGAATGAAAAAACACATCAACAGGACATCATTTCTACTCTTGTATTGCGGTTGTTTGGCAGTGGCAGACGTGTGTCAACTGCACTGATAAACTCATCAATTGTTTGACCGGGCCAAAGACTCTGCCACACAAATTGAAACATGCTGCCGCCCGGGATTCACCACATTGACAAAGCACAAAACACGCATCCGGTGTCAGGGAGTTCAGGCAGGGCCTCTGATGTCCTCTGTGAACTGACAGGGGCACTGGAAGCTGTTGATTTGAAGGCAAGGAGAACATGCTCTGTTACTCCGACACTGTTGCGTTGAAATAAGTTGCTGCAAGAGTATCTTGATCCTGATATTACTGGTCTGGAATTCCGAAATTGAAGTGTCTGAGTGTTTGCTCAGATATACATCCAAGGATGATTGTCTTGTGACTGTGCTCCATATCTGTGCTCTGTCTCTCCATAACTGTGCCGAAAGAGACTGTTGTTGGGATCAGTGATTTCTGACAACTATCATGATCAATTAGGATTATATTGTTTATCTGGCAGTATGTGAGGAAACTCTGGGAACAAAAACAGCACTCCAAAACATTTCCTGGGGGCTATCGTTGTATATGTTGACGTTAAGAGCAGTTTTCACCACAAGTAGCAAATTTAATGCGACACACTTGTGCCAATCATGCAAAATTGAAAAATTCGAATTCAGTTTGGATTAGCGTTAGTCAAGCAAAGTCTTAGTTGGTATTGCCTATTCATTCTGTTTCTAAGGCACACAGACCTAGAGATTTGTGAGGAATGAGCTCAGTATTTACAAGCTCTATCTGATACTCTTGTGGCAATAAGACACTGCCACTTTGTAATCATAGGGTTTTATTCCAGCACAATGCAGAAGCAGCATTAATTGCTGTCAGAGACCTTGTTTCCATTTTTACAGAGGGGGCCCTAGTGCTTTGTGCTGTGGAGTCTTCACAAGAAGAATACCGATGTGGCCTGTGTCATCGGGATTGATCTACAAACAAGGTGAACAAACATTGCAGAGGCTCATCATTCCCTGAATAAAACATGAATTCCTTCCCCACATGGGGAAAAAAATAACTTTAACCCACCTTCAAGATTTGCCACATCTTCTATATTTGTGATACACAGCCCCTATGGCCTATGTCTATGTCCTTCATCTCTGGATTCTTTTATGAGAGAAAGGGTGCAAAGACATGGCTTTGGGAAAGCAGAGGCAGATCAATCATTGTGCTCAGCTGCTTCCTGGTTGTTGTGTGATGTTCAAATTGAAGAGCACCCCGTGCTAAAAATAAGGCCCATAATTTAACCAAACCAGATAATGAACAAGTGGCGAAGTTTAATTGAAGACCCACTTCCATGTGCTTTTTGATCGCATGCACAATTTTTATTACTTTTAAGAGGTATTCATTCCCCGATAGCAGAAGACAAGCAAGTGGGTATGTTACAGAGCTGAGTCATCATAATATTTCTTTATTTTATATAGCGCTTTTTAAAGTAGCATCTCAACAAGCTTTACGGTAGGTATAAAAAAACAGATAAAACAAATGAAAAAAATTACAAACTAAGTTCATATAAGGAACTCAGAGGGTTAGAAGTGCAGCAGAAGATATATGGTCATTAGAAAATGGAGCAGACTCCGACACTAATTCAGTAAAAGCCTTTCCGAAAATAAAGGTTTTGAGTTTAGATTTAAATGCACTCAGGGTGACTCTCTCATTCCAGAGCTCTGGGGTGTAGCAAGAGAAGGCCTTGTCACCTACAGAATGTAAGTGAGTTTGGGAGACATACAGTATAGAAGACTGGAGTTAGACGAACAAAGGCTACAAGGTGGAGAGTAGACAGATATTAAATCACATAGATACAGAGGTGCCAGGCCATGTAGAGCCTTATACAGTAGGTGAGCATGAGGATTTGAAGTCAACTCAAAATCTGATAGGATGCCAGTGCGAGGACTTCAAGACAGACGGAAAGAGATTGTTTGCATACTGGTTAATCTAGGCAACACAAGCAAACTCCATTTTGCTCTGTTCACATTTTGTTTATTGGCTTTCTGTACAGATCACCTCCTGGGCTAAACTGAGGAAATTATTTTGGTGTAAAAGCTGCTTCCTAAGCAGAATTCTTTAAAAATCCAACTCTTTATGCTCTGGATGATTTCTATGCCTTCGGTTTCTGTGGGTGATCTTGTTTCAGCACTAGAAGGTCAATTCTCACCCCTCACTGCATTAGCACCAGAAGTGTCAGATTGATCCTCACCTCAATTAAATCTCAGTCCAGAGCTTTCCCCCAGATTTGCTTCATGGAGACGCCATGCTTTCTTCTGCTGATGGACACTTGTCAAGTTTCCTTAGTCTCAGACATACACATTTCAAAGAGGTGATGTGAAACAATATTAGCAGAGCAAAGTGCTGAGCTGCTAAGAAGCGGAGGCACAGAGGGTGGAAATTGGAGTTGCTCGGGGTCACAAAAAACTAAGTCCAGTGCTTATGAAATAAGGTGAATGTGCTGTGGCAAAGATCCAAAACGTTACCGAGCTGACCTTGTACTTTCCCAGGGCTTTAATCTTAATGCTGCCCTCAGTGCCCCTGCAGAAATACTTAGTAGCTCAGAAATGTGCAGTGGTAGCCCATTTAGTTTAAAGATAAAGTTTAACGAAAGAAAAGTTAAAGCCAGATTTAATTTG